AAGGTCAAGGTAATCATTGTTCAGATCCTGGAATACACACACACACACACACACACACACACACACACACACACACACACACACACACACACACACACACACACTTAGTTAACATTTATTTTCCACAGTTCTACCTCCCCTTCAGGCATTCAGTTAGCACTTGTGTTATTAGAGATTTGAAATCTGCATGCTGTGAGCGTCAGTCACACCCACACATATACGCCAAGGTATAGACTGCTTCCCTCAGTAAAAAAACTTGTTTCCATGGGAACAGCACACCTAGGTGACTGGAGAGCTAGACAGGAGGTTACTTTACGCTCTTAAACAATCATTGTGGACAGCCTGAGAAGTTTCTCCTCACGCAACTAAGAAACTTGGCAAATCATATTATGTAGTTTCAAAATCCCAAAACTGAATCTGAACATATTTACTAATAAATGTAAAGCAAAAAGTCACAGTTTAATGTCAATGTAATGTGTTATTCAAAGGAATGAGAATGTGAGAACAAGAACAATATTTCATTGAACTGATAGGAAATCAAATAGTGATTTGCTATATTTTATTAACAATATTGCTTTGCCATTCAGGACAACCAAATCCAATGGTTTGTAACACAACATGTAGACCAAACATGCTGCTGCTGTGTATTCTGTACTTACTTTGTACATGTAGTATTGTAGCAACAGAAATTGCAGAATTAGGAAATATTTTTTATTTAAATTTTCTATAGAAATGTAGTCATTATTCAGAAAGATTTATATAAAATGTACCAGAATTATTACTCAAATCTGCAGTTCCCCTCAGAGCCTTTTAACCTCTTTAAATACACTGTTTTGGTTTTCCAAACACAACTCCCCTCTCAGCAAAAACAGGCAGCTGTCTGTCAGTTCAAAAATGAATTAATCCAGGATTGTACTGATTTCAAACATGACAATAGTATCATCATAGTCAGTTTCAATGAGATACTATATGAAATTGAATAAAATCAGCAATTTCATTTCCACTTGCTTGGTTTTGTGTGTCAGTGGATTAACATAGAGCAGTTACATATTTTTTTTACAAGTTAAAAAGTAAAGTAAACTTGAACGCTAATAGATTAAATGTAAAATTTGTATTCAATACATTTGTAAAACTCCTACCAAATTTAAACGTTAATTTTATTTAACTCAGTCTAAAAAAATGCACAATTTTTATTAATTTAAATGTTTTATATCAGTGAAAGCAATGAATGGAGCTCCAAGTGTTAGTGGTAGCTACCTTTCTAACTACATTTGCTTACAAAGCTGACCATTATGAAAATAAATTAGCAGCAGTGATATGACCTTCCTGGGATTGGTCTGTCTGTCTGCGACATTATGTAACACACAGCAGCTGAGGCAGACACAACCCAACACAGTGTGTGTGTGTGTGTGTGTGTGTGTGTGTGTTGGGGGGGGTCTTAGTGTTTTATGTGGGCAGATAGGAATGCTCACACAAAAACACACATATAGAGGTGAGACAACATGGATTACTGTCAACTGGATCAAATTCACTCTTACATTTCTTCCTTCCACTCTTTTGTCATTCTTGTTTGTCATTCTTATAATTCCTGTGTTCCTGGCCTGTTGCCTGAAGTTATTATTAGCTATATTTTATCTTGTTTATTGATGACTGCCGTGTTTCTCCCTCCTTTCTTAAAATACCGACTCCATCTTTGGTGCTAAGCTGAATTGCAGGATAAACATTATTTATCCGGATTCTAACCTTATAAGACAACACTGGTTCCTGTGTATGTGTATCTCCAATTACTTTGACCTACATATTTGAATGCTTTAAGGCAGCGATCAAACTGGACGCCTATGAGATAATAAGGCCATTCATTTTTTTGCTTTTTAAAGAGGTGGTATTATGCTTTTTGGCTTTTCCCTCTCCTTTATTGAGTTACAGTATATATCTTTTTTGTGCATGTAATAGGTTTGCAAAGTGAAAAAGCCCAAAGTCCAGCCCAAAGGGAGTTCCCATTTCCCACAGAAAGCTCTGCTCTGAACTGACTGAAAACAGCTCGTTTGTAGTCCAGCCGCTTCCCTTTCATCCCTGTGACGTCACAGGAATGAAAGCTAAATGCGCTTCATATAACGCTCGCCAAGCGGCTACTCCGACACGTCCTCAAAAACACCGGTGGAAAAACAGTGAGCTGCAGCACACAGCTCTCCTCTCCTTCCAAACACTAGCTACCCTCCAGGCAGTCAGTGGACATAAAGTTGTTACTGTGATGTAGATACTTTGGAGCAAGAGTTTCAGAGTTATTAATCTGTAACAAGTCGATGTTGCCAAGCTGGTCAGCAACATGTAGCCTACAGCTGAATCAAAGCTGTTTACGGGCCCTTCTCTGCTTCTGATTGGCTAGTAGTCCTTAACTAGCAACTGAGCATGTGAAACTCCCAACAAAGATCATTTAGAGACAAGATGTATCACTCCATAGCTCAAACGAAGCCTTCAACACAGGGTGAAAAGAGGAGCTAAAAAATATGGTGTTTTTTTGAAAATTAAACCATGTAAACCTGTTCTGGTACAACCCCTAAATAGGATTTTGAACCTGAAAATGAGCAAAACTCCACCTCTTTAATTTGTGAATGTGTTATGAGCGTTCCAACACACACCTCTTAGGTCTTATCATCAAGAGCTTCTTTGCATCCCAACAACCAAACCGAAATTTTAGAATATACCAGAAGGACATCTTTTTGTATTGATGGGTGAGAAAATATTCCAGTTTTTATGAAAAATAATGTAACTCCATCAGGTGTTCTCAGAAGCACTTTTTAAATAATCACCCATCCAAACTTTAAAAACACCTGCACCAGAATATCCATGATTTTAATTCATCAGCAATTCCAGACTCCAAAACATTTCAACATAATTTTAACAACATCAATTATAGATATTTAGAAAAAAATCCACCAGCTTGCTTCATATTCCAAACTTTAAGGTTAAGGTTAAAGGAGCATGACAATGCTGTTCTGTCTTTGTTGATTATTCAGGCTTGGACACTATGCTCTATACTGTGTATTCCAACCCTTTCATCTCTCCGTTATCTCAGTGGCTCTCTGCTATTACAGCTCCATCTGACACCCTTTCATCTTTGTCTCACTCTTCCTATCAGCCCTCATCCCATCTTCCCCATGATGCTTCCCTGCACACGCCCCTCTTTCATTTTCACTACATAATTCCTCTAGAATAGCTGGGGGGGGGTCTTGACTGACAGAACCCTGATTAAGGGGATTAATACCAATGCCAGTGCCTACAGTGTTTATTATTATTATTTGACCAGCTTTACATTAATTAGACCATGACAGACTGGTGAATTTTGGGGATATGATTTGATTTGATCACTTGTCACAGGCTGCTGTTCATGAGTTGCAAACAGTTCAACTAAAGAGCGATACCCCCTTCAGATAGTTTCATTTGAATGGTTTTTGAAAAGCATCAGAGATGTTTTTTTATTTTTTATTATTAAGCATCTCATGACCCCTCAACCTTAGCAAACTTAGGGATCCCGATCCCCAGGCTGGGAACCACTGATTTGGGTAAATGACTTTTATTTTCTTGCATCATTTTAAAAAACTGAAAACTGAGATACCAACTGAGATCAGTTTGTCCTTTGCAAAAAAAACATGATTGACAAATAAATAAATGAAATGACCAGCATCACATTTCATAATACATTTTGCAGAGTACCGCTAGCTTCATCTCCATCAAAGGTGCAAAAAGCCGCCTGGTCAATATCTAATTTTGCATAAAAGGACAGAGCAAATCAACAATATTACTGCTGTTACTAAGGAGGGGAGGAGGCTTTGTGCGCACTCTGGCATGAAGGTGGTGAGTTGCTGGGCTGGATTTAGACCTTCAGCAGGGGGCTCTGAGCTCTATACTGATAAGACTGGAAGCATATTTAGCTGTGTGCTGTCATTGGTAATGCTGGGTAATCTTCCAAACATGGCTTCAAAACAAAAGATGCAACATTTGTGTATTTTATTTCAACAGCAGACTGCCTTGAAATTCAATTTTAGCATGACTGGGATGGCATTTAGTTGATGATCGCGACTGAGGTTGTGGTGTCAGTCGATAAATCAGTGTCATATACAGTTCATCTGTAAGTTATCGGCAAGCTACTCTTGATTGAAATGATAAAGAGCCCATAAACGGACTTAATGGACTAGCTGTTACCAGCACTAACTAGTAAGGATAGCAGTGAGTGTTTCCTAATCATGATAGCCTGTGTTCTCCTTGCAGATATTAATAGACACAAAGCAATGTCACTACTAAGTCCCTTGCTCCTGCTGACAGCTTTGTTTTCGAGCACATTCTTTCCATCTTTGTTTTGCTCTCAACTTATCCGCTGAGATAAGAGGCAAAGCTCCTTTTTCACCTTTCAAGTCCCTTTCCTCTCTCCATCCAGCTCAGCAGGAGAGGACAGCATTTTCCAGCTAATCACTTAGTTAATGCTGTGTTTTCAGAGGTTTAACATATATAAGATTTAATCTATAACTAAATGACTTGAGGATGGATTTTAGTTGAAAACAGGGCATGAAAAAAACAAAAATCTCTCTCATGAGGCAAACCATGCTGTGAAAACATTTAACACTATGTCATTTGATGGCAGAACCATGTGAGGATCCAATTGCAGGACAAAGGCATGCCACTGACTCTTAAGAAAGGGAAGCAGGGAAAATTAAAGCAAGGAGAGGGAAGCTATTTCAGGGGTGATGTGTCCAGAATGACAACTGTTGCCCCCCTCACCCTCTGCTCATTCTCTGCCTCTCTCTCCACCAAATCCCACTCTCTCTCCTGCTGTTAACCTCGGGGCCTTCAATGCCCAGAACTTTTCCAACCACAGACCCTTCTCTCTATCGCTCTGTGCTTCTCATGATAAATATAGAACACTATTACCCTTTCCCAATGAGCTGCGACACACGTGCGCACCGCCCAACCACGCATGAGACCATACAGTATTTAAGGGCCAAGGGTGAGTGGCTACAGGAGAGTGGGAAAATAAGTGATCTTACTCAATTTGAATTAGAAAAAAAGGAAATACAGGAAGACAGAAGAAATCTGCCCATTATTTCTTACATTGTAGCCTCTGGAAGAGCCTCCCAGAGCAGCCACCTCCCTCTTCCCTGCCTTTACTCTCCTCCTCTGCCTTACTTAGGACTCTCAGCCATCCATGAGTGTGACCAACTCCTCTGCCTATCGATCGGAGCGTAGTTTCCACCAGACTTCATCCTCATCCTCATCCTCTGGTAACCCATACATGGAGAAGAGCCGGGGACTGTTTGCTGAGGATTTTGGCTCCTTCATGAGGCCTGGGAGCGACACCTTGGGATTTTCCAGTAAGTTGGAGGCAATTGCAGGTTTCTGTAACCCATTTTGTATACAAAAGTGGTATACAACAGCAGGTTGAAGTGACAGCTTTGACTATAAAATAGATTTAGGTCTGTGCCTGGAAGCAATTTGTTTAAAGTTTGGTATTTTTCTCCATAAAGTAGTGAAAACATGTCCAAGGTGACAATTAAGAGGAGGGAGACAACAGGCAGGATTGAGTTTAAAAGTCAAAATGACTGGTGTGGTTGATGTGTGTGGACAAATTTGTTTCTAAGCAAGCGTGTAAGCATGGTGCTGTTTTAATGGAATAACTGATAACAGAACCAAACATTTTTTGGCTTTGTCTTCCAGGTATTCAGACATTTGTATGTTTAAATACGCATTACGGTCAGGAGATATTTCTCTTTACAGTGCCTGGTTCTTCTTCTCGCTCAGTAATGTGTGGAGCTGGTGTGAACTGTTCTGTATAAGTTCACTGCTTCCGCACACAGACGTGTAACTGTGTGGCATCTAAATAGCAGAAATGTTTTGGAACCATGGTTGGTATCCTATAGGTGCAGCACAGGAGCCAGAGGATGGGTCCCGCTAAAGGGAAAGCAAGACACACACAACCATACACACACACACACACACACACACAAAAGTAAGCCAGTGAATGCTGGAACGACTGCCAGCAGTGTGACTTCATACACTGAGAATCTGGAATGAAGCCTGCATAAGGAATGACCAGATGGTTACCCAGTGACCAGCATACACACTAAATACATACACAAACAGTTGGAATGATGTCACACAATTAAACTCCATATTGAAGTCAGAGCTAAGATCACCCACACACTTGTTTCCAGTCTGGTGACGTGTGTGAGCTCATGTGTTACCACATAGTTCTTCACTGATCTCAGTATCACTAGGGACAGACAGCTGTCACTGAACGGAAAATGCATCAGACTGAATGATTATCATGTTTCTCTTCTGTATCTTTACATGTTTGCTGCTGCCATGAACCTGTTTTCCCATACAGATCATTAGTTGCGCTAATCAATATTTTTATATTAACAATGTATCAAATGACTGAAAGGCTTTGCTTATAAACCCACAGAGATTAGAACCCAACTCTGCAGTTCCCACAGTGCTTTTTAAACTCTTTTAGCTCATTGTTTTGGTTTTCCATCCCCCCACACTCTGCTCCAGTCAACTTCAATCTTTCAGCAGCAGCAGGCAGCTGTTTTTAGTGAAATGGCGATGAGAAATCTGTTAGTACCTGCAGCAGAAAGACAATGCTAGCAACTAGCTGGGGACGAAAGTTGATCATATAGTTCCTTCCTCTGAAGTTAATGGAGATCAAAACAGAGCTAAACAGCGATACTGGGCTTACATTCATCAGGTGAAGCTCTGACAAGCTCTAATATAATGTTAGTGTTGCTTTGTGTAAATAGACAATTAGATAACATATATTCGCCATAACAACTTTATAGGGTGCTAATACTGTATGTCGGATGTTGATTCCCACAAGAGGCCAACAAACCATCTGTGACTGCAGTAAAGTAAGTAAGTCATAAGCTGAAATAATAGAGACACAAAAATTCTCATAACCAAAAGTTACAAAAAGCAGAAAGAGAAATTATTGGTAGTTGCAAAAACAAACAAAAACAACATGGCTGATACACTTGGAAGATGAATACTAGAGGAACATCACATTTCATGTTTTCAGTGACATGAAACAAACTGACATGTTAGTTTGTTGTTCTGTCAATCTAAAAGTATTCAATAATTTGTACATTATATTCACCCTAATGAAAGTGAAATTGATTTAGCAAAGAGAAAATGTACAAAGTATGGATAAACTCCTTTTTTCTCCAGTGGTCTAACATACTGACTCACCTTGTTGTGGGTTTAGGCGGAGCTGGAAATATCAAGGCTCTTGGGGATTCGTACCAGTTCACAGTTGACGTGAGAGACTTCTCCCCTGAAGATGTCATCGTCACCACATCAAATAACCAGATTGAAGTTCATGCAGAAAAGGTGAGCAGCCTTCTGTATGATTTGGAATGATGACAGAAGTCTTGGAGCTGTTAAAACAATGTTAGTCTTCCCACAATAGCATCTTGAAACTGAGCTTTGCGGTCCCAATAGGCATTTTGCAAAAGCTGTCTAAATGAGAGCAGACGTAATCTCTTATCACAGCATCCATCTTCAGTCGTAGTACATTAAGTCATTGCTGATGTTCTGTCTCTGACAGTTGGCCCAGGATGGCTCGGTGATGAACACTTTCACACACAAGTGCCAACTACCTGAGGACGTGGACCCCACCTCAGTGACATCATCACTGGGCGGTGAGGGGACCCTAACAGTCAGAGCACGGCGACACCCGGCCAAACACGAGCTCGTACAGACCTTCCGCACCGAGATCAAGATCTAAAGAGGGACCCACTATCTCATCACAAACCTTTCACTTTTTGTGTTTTTATTTGTGTTCTCTGTTTCCTGTCCATTCTACTTTAAATACACATAAAGGCACTGTGTTCAATAAATCATGCCATGTCCTTCTTACAATGACTGCAGCAATGCCTGTTGCTGCTCATTTATATTCTAGTCAGTTCACTACACACATCTGCAATAGGTCACACCTGCACTTAACATATTGAGAGAGGGGCTTGGACATATATGCAAAGACACGCACACACACACACAATTAACTGATGGTTGCCACATTAATTATAATTTATTGTATGTTATTATTTGTGTGAATAAATATTTTTAGATCAGAACCAGAACTTTCAAAGTATCACTGTCTTTATTTAACATGCTGATGAATTAATACCCCAACCATTGTTTTCTTCAAGGCTTCCAAGGCAAATGACTCTCAAAATCAATCCAAAACAGAGTAGGCCTAGCATTCAGTTACTTTACAAAGGATAAATAGTGCCTCTATCCGGTCTTTTGTGTGTTGAGGCGTTTATGAGGCATCTGTCCTGTTTTCTTGAGAAAAGACTTTCAAAGGGGTTATTCGTGCAAAATAATTGTAAAGCCCTTGTTATATGGCTATAATTTACTACGTTTGAGGCAGGTTGTGGCCTTTGCATTTTGATGCGCTTCCCCCTGATGAAGACCACATGATTAAGAGATTTATGAAAAAAAAGCAGAAAATAAATTGATGTATGATGATTTTTTGTGCATGTACATTTTTCCCACGAAGGTGTCCAGAGGGTGCCTAAATTTAAATCTGACACCACAGAATAAATACTAATGCAATCAATTAAATTTTGTTCTATTGTATTTGTTTATTGACCCAGGTTTCACAGCCTGACCAAAAAACAACCAGTCTGGTAAAATAAAATATGTAACAAGTGCCTATATCAAGACAACGAGAGCAAAACAAAATTGCATTTACTAAGACATTGCTCTCCATCTAAGGTTGCTGACCGTTCACAAATTGGCCTCTACAGATTATGTTCCCAAAACATTTGTCTCCTTGTTTAAAATGAAATATCACTAATCCCAGGAATATTAAGTCTATGAATTTAGTCTCCACACTTATTACTGTTCTGGCTTTGTGGCATTGCTGCAGCAAACCTTGTGTGTGTATTTCTGCTGTAGAAGTCCAAGCCCTCTGAATCTCAATGTTATGCGCAGGGATGACCTGAATTGCTGCTGTGTGTGTGGTGAAATAACTAAGGGTGATGATACTTTTTGTACGGTTTGGTCATGTGACGTTCGACAGAAAGCCTATTGCGCCACCACGCGTTCATCATCGGCACAGCACGTGCTTTCACTGCGCGTGCTCTTGTGACACATCCGCCCGGTCCGTATCAATCGATCAGAGAGAGGAAGATGGCGGTGGATGGAGTTAGCGGGGCAGCATCGATCACCGAAAAACTCGATTGGGTTTGTTTTTCCTAACTGAGTTAAACATTCTGAAACAACGCCTGGAACCCGGAGAGAAGAAGCGCTAACAAGCAGGTAATTCAGGAGTAGGTATATATTAAAATGGCGCGTGCTGTAAGCAAAAAGAGCAAGCTAGCTGTGAAAACAACAAGGGATGAAGACAGGCCCGACTCGTCGGTCCGCCATCTTGTCTCTATACTGGACATGCATGTCAAGGCACGCTAAATTAATCCCTGATAACAAAGCCACAAGGATGGAGGAATTATAATCGATGGATAGCACTGTCAAACCAATATGTCAAAACTTTTAGAGAAAAGAAAGTTTCCAGGTTCAAAACATCAGCGTTTACAAAAAAAAAGCCTGTATTTTGTGTCTAGTGCATGGATGTAACGTCATTATCAGGACATCCGTTGAAGCTAAACGTTGGTGTCATTCTGGTTAATGGCACTCGTTTAACGTTAACTTAACTTAGGTGTAACGTTAGTTTAGCTAAATAGCCTATATTTTCAATTAGTTGTTAAAACATACTGGGTTGAAATCGTGTCTGTGTCTCGGGTATTTCCTGGTGGTGACCTGCGGGAAAAGGCTGGTGTCTAACGTTACACCATAACATACAGTCTATGGTCTATTAGTGCAGCGCTGCCCCAGAGACCCTTTCCACGAGATAAATAAAGTAACTTACTTGTTCGACTTTTGTATTAACATAAAGCAAGGCAAACCTTCATAGATATGTGTGTATTGTTTGCATTGTAAAGTGTATTGATACAACCCATCGACCTAACATACGGCTCATTTTTGGCTAACAAACATAGTGATTTATTACATTGAAATAATAATAAAAAATATTCAAGATATACCAAATGTCTTCGATCTTCAACCAAGCCCAGTTGTCCTTGAATGTAACCCACCTTGGATAACTATGACCTGGATGACAGATAATCTTCACAACATCCATTCATGTGTTTTCTGGAGGCTGATACTGCAATTTTAACTGCACATTACACTCTAAAATTAGATTGCTGTGCTATTCTCAGGGAGGAGACATAGACGTATCAGAGGTGAACAATATTGGTATTGTTTAATAAAAGGCTAATGAATGTCATGCCAGTGTAAAGACAAACTGTGTTACCAGTCAAGGTGATTATCAGCATTTTGAGCCTTGACATGATATTTGCTTGTCAGTGGTCCACAGTGCCTGTGCCTGCCTGCCAGCCTCTTCCACCATCCTCAAACCTTCAGGACAATGGAGTTCCCATGGCACAGTGGGAAGGTTCTGGAGCAGCTCAACCGCCAGCGCAAGCAGGGCCTGCTGTGTGACTGCACCTTTGTTGTGGACGGGGTGGACTTCAAGGCCCACAAAGCTGTGTTGGCGGCCTGCAGTGTCTACTTCCGCACCCTCTTCCTGGACCAGAAAGATGTGGTGCATCTGGACATCAGCAATGCAGCAGGTGAGGTCCCCCTTAGCCTGTGGACACATCTGTTTGCATGCTTTCATATTATGTATTCAACTGTGTTCATTTTCATCTTTCAGTGCTCTGACTTTGCATACCATCTATTGTTGATAATCGTTGCAGGTTTGGGTCAGGTCCTGGAGTTTATGTACACAGCCAAGCTGAGTTTAAGTCCACAGAATGTAGAAGACGTGCTGGCTGTTGCTAACTTTCTACAGATGCAAGAAATTGTAAATGCCTGCTCTGCGTACCAGTCAATGGCAAATCCAGCTCCGTCCCTCATAACATTGGATTTTGCCGTTGGTGAGTCTAGTACTTACATAACTGTGTCCACGTTTTCAATCATTTCTTGTTGGTTGAGAAAAGGGCAACATAAGTTTTCTATATTGAACTGTCACTTCCCATGGGATGATGTTTCCTATGTTTGTATTGCTATATGACAAAGAAGTTTCACTCTCTCCATAGTTGGTTGCAGTATTTCCAGATAGCATTCCTCACTTGTATTATAAAGAAATAAGAAGTCAGAGCTTTAAGTTTTAAACTGTAGTTAATCATTGTTAACTGTTGGTATAGTGAGTTTATATGAGCTATTTTACTAAAATTCACATCTGGTAAAATCTTCTTCTCATGTGATAATTATGATACAATTTAATATTTTTTCTTTAACAAACCAGAAGAAAAAACAGATGAAGGAGAGCAGAGAGAGGACCCGGAGAGTGACCTGGCAGAAGTGGCATCACAAGCAGCAGAGGAGATTCCTCCTAGCACCCCCACAGCAGATAAAGAGCCCACACAAAATCAAGAAAATGTAAAGGAAGACATCTCTGCTGAAACACAACAGACTGTTTGTCAGGCCAATCCCGCTAGAACCCACTCAGGCAGAGGACGCCCCCCCAAAACCACCCCCCTTTCTGTTCAAAAGAAGATATCTGTAAAGAAGGAGAAGGAAGAAAGTGCTGCACAGGATGCGCCTAGATTTCAGGATGACCCCTCAGATGCTGACTACACGCCCAGTAAGTACATATTTATGGAATGTCTTCTAATCTGTCCATTTGGCATGTGTCCCAACATCTCTATATAGATTTTTTTGAAGGTCTACATGATGCATTACAGTGTCTGTAACAAGTGTTGAGTGTTTTTATCGCCCAATAAACTAAGAGATATTGTCTTTGTTTACAGACTCATTGTTGAAATCTGCTGGCAGTTCATCCTACATGAGCTCTCGGGGGAGAAGAATCAGAAAACCTCGTAGACGAAACTTCTCACCTGGTGAGCGGGCTGCGCTGATTTGCTCTGCTGTATCTAGCCAAACAGCATCCGCTTTTCTCTCTAAGCTTTCCACTGGTTTTGGAATATTTTTGGTATCATCATCCAGAAACATATTCCAGATGGAAAAATTTGATACATTTAAAAAAAATGATTCAGGATTTTACGACTGAGTTTCAAAAGAACTTTTTTGTTTAGTCTTACATTCAATTCCAAGTATTAGTGACCAGTAACATTTTTAAAAGTGGCTTTCTGAAACCTGCAGAGACTTTGCTCTTATAGCAATTGCCATTTCCAGGCAAGACTCCGGACATTATGTCATTTTCAAGACTTCCCTCTTGTCGTCCTCGTAGACAATGACTCGGAAGATGAAGCCACATCAAAAACAAAATCTAGGAAGAGGGTGGCGGTGCCAGCAGAAGTGACCGGAGAACAGGATGATGACTCTGGGGAGACTGGTGACGGGGAAGCTGATGATGAAGAGGGGGCCGGAGAAGAAGATGACGAAGTTAGCCACGAGGTGGGAGGAGCTGATTCTAGCAGTGAGAGAGCTCAGTCAGCGTCTATGAGCAGCCGATCCGAGTCAAAGCCTTACAGCTCCATAACACACAAATGTGAGGTAAGAAATATCAGTCTGGTGCAGGAGAGAAGAATAATGTTACTAAGTACAAATAGAGTTTTTTTGCCAGTCTTTAGAGGCTATTAAATGCAAATCTTGGTGGAGTTATGTGCCAGTATTGGTCACAGTTGCATACAAATCTTCACATTAAAAGGTTTTGTCAGCTCACTCTTCATGACATATTTTCTTCTTTCCAGGACTGTGGGAAAAAATTCACCCACACTGGTAATTTTAAAAGACACATGCGTATTCACACAGGAGAGAAGCCTTTCAGCTGTCGGGATTGCAACAAGGCTTTCTCTGACCCCGCTGCCTGTAAAGCCCACGAGAAAACACACAGGTGAATCACTTATTTTATCCAGAGACGATTAGTTTACCCACACTCCTTTTTACTGACACCTGCCTAGTTCGCTCTGTCAGGTTTATGTCTTAAAGTGAGCTCTTGTTTCCTCCTAGCCCTCTGAAGCCATACTGCTGCTCAACTTGTGGAAAGAGCTACCGGCAGATCAGCCTGCTCAACCTGCACCGCAAACGGCACACGGGCGAAGCGCGG